AGCGTTCCTGCCAGTTCTCAGGCCTGTGCGAGACCTGCTTTCAGGCAGTAATTCCTGTTTCTTCACTCGAGGTGACCCCTACACCAGAGAGATCAATCCACCCTTTTCCAACTGAGGACCATGGACTCAGATTTGGAGGTGCTGTTCCTCATCCCAGCCGCTTCACACTCAGCTGTGAACCGCTCCAGTGAGAGCTGAAGATCCTGGTGTGATGATGCCAACAGAACCACATCATCTGCAAACAGCAGAGATGAAATCCTGAGGATACTGAACCGGACTCCTTCCGCCCCCAGCTGCACCGAGAAATTCTGTTCTTGTAAGTTATGAACAGGATCTGTGACAACAGGAAGCCCTGGTGGAGTCCAACTCCCACTCTGAAGGGGTCTGACTTACAATGCAAAACAAACTCTTGCACCGCTTGGATAGAGACTGAATGGCCCGTAACAACGGACCCACAATCCCATACTCGCGTAGCACCCCCCACAGTGTACCTCGAGGAACATGGTCCAATGCCTTCTCCAAGTTCACAAAACACATGTAGACTGGATTATCAAACTCCCAAGACCCCTCAAGTACCCTACTGAAGGTAAAGAGTTGGTGCAGTGTTCCACGGCCAGGACAGAACCTGCATTGTGCCTCCAGTATCTGAGGTTTGACTATCGATCAGACTCTCTTCTCCAGTACTCCTGAAAAGACCTTACCACGGAGGTTAAGGAGAATGATGCCCGTGTAATTGCAGCAGACCATCTGGTCCCCCTTTTTAAAGACAAGAACCACTACCCCAGTCTGCCAATCCAGTGGCACTGCCCCCAATGTCCACACAATGTTGCAAAGGCATGTCAACCAGGACAACCCCACAACATCCAGAGCCTTGAGGAAATCAGGGCGGATCTCATTCACCCCTGGAGCCCTGCCACCGTGGAGCTTTTTAACTACCTCAGTGACCTCAGCTCCCGTTATGAACAGACCCCAAAGTCCTCAGACTCTGCTTCCTCCATAGAAGACGTGCTGGTGGGATTGAGAACAGTGGTATTAAAGTGCTGCTTACCCCGCCTCAGCCGCCAGATGGTTTGCCAGAATCTCCTTGGAGCCAATCGAGAGTCTTTGTCCAAGGCCTCACAGATCTCCTCCCACATCAGAGCTTTTGCCTCAGCAAAGGCCACAGCTGCAGCCCGCTTGGCCTACTGATACTCCTCAGCTGCCTCTGGAGTCCTACCAGCCAACAAGACCAGATAGGACTCCTTCAACTTGAAAGCCTCCCTTACCCGGGGTGTCCACCACCAAGTTCGAGGATGGCCACCGCGAGAAGCACCGACAACCTTGCAGCCACAGCTCAAGGCAGCCACTTCAACAACTGAGGTGTGGAACATGGCCCACTCTGACTCAATGTCCCCTGCCTCAGCTGAGATGTGGTTGAAGTTCTCCCAGAGGTGTGAGTTAAAGATCTGTCTGACGGGTTCCTCTGCCAGGTATTCCCAGCAAACTCCCACTACACACTTGGGTCTAACAGGCCTGTCCGGCTTCTTCCCCTGCCACCTGATCCAACTCACTACCAGGTGGTGATCAGTTGACAGCTCAGCTCCTCTCTTCACCTGAGTGTCCAGAAGGTGCCGTCCAAAACAGATGACACGACTACAAAGTCAATCAATGATCTGCGACCTAGGGTGTCCTCGTGCCACGTGCACTTATGGACACCCTTATGTTTGAACATGGCGTTTGTGATGGACAAACTGTGACGAGCACAGAAGTTCAACAAGAAAACATTGCTCGGGTTCAGATTAGAGAGGCCGTTCCTCCCAGTCACGCCTCTTCAGGTCACACTAACATTACCCACGTGGGCATTGAAGTCCCCCAGCAGAATAAAGGAATCCCCAGCTGGAGCACCTTCCAGCGCCCCCGGACTCCAAGAAGGCTGGGTACTCTGAACAATCATTTGGTGCATAAGCACAAATGACCGTCAGAACCTGTCCCCCCCACCTGAAGGCGCAGGGAAACTACCCTCTTATCTACTGGGGTAAACTCAACACACAGGCACCAAATCAGGGGGCCAAAAGTAGACCCACACCAGCTCAGCACCTCTCACCATCGACAACTCCAGAGTAGAATAAAGTTCTGCCCCTCTCGAGGAGACTGGTTCCAGAGCCCATGCTGTGCATTAAGGTGAGCCCAACTCTAATTAGCTGGTACCTCTCAACCTCACGCACAAGCTCATGCTCCTTCCCCACCAGAGACATGATGTTCCATGTCCCAAGAGCTAGCTTTGTTAGGCCAGGGTCAGAGTGCCATGGCCAGGGTCAGAGCCTTTGGCTACTTCCCATGGCATCACGTACCTGACTCCTATGGCACCTCCTGCAGGTGGGGGGCCCACAGGAAGGAAAACCCATGTAGCTCATTCGGGCTGAGCTTGGCCAGGTCCCAGAAACCCGTCCACCAGGTGCTCGCCAACTAGCCCCTCCTCCAGGCCTGACTAAAGGGTGGGGCCAATATAACCCACATCCAGGCAAGGGAACTGAGTTCCTTGATTTATTTTGTCTATAAGAGTCTGTCAAATCATTCTTTGTCTGGCCTGTCACCTAGGACCAATCTGCCATGGGAGACCCTACATTGCCCCTGGTAGCATAGCTCCTAGGATCATTCAGGCACACGAACTGCTCCACCACGATAAGGTGATGATTCAACGGAGAAGAATGCATAAAAATAAAGCTAAATAAAATAAACTGATGGGTGGAGCTCTGTCTCCTAATGTCCTCAGTCTGTCTCCTAATGTCCTCAGTCTGTCTCCTAATGTCCATAATCTGTCTCCGAATGTCCATAATCTGTCTCCGAATGTCCATAATCTGTCTCCTAATGTCCTCAGTCTGTCTCCTAATGTCCATAATCTGTCTCCTAATGTCCATAATCTGTCTCCTAATGTCCTCAGTCTGTCTCCTAATGTCCTCAGTCTGACTCCTAATGTCCATATCCTGTCTCCTAATGTCCTCAGTCTGTCTCCTAATGTCCATAATCTGTCTCCTAATGTCCTCAGTCTGTCTCCTAATGTCCTCAGTCTGTCTCCTAATGTCCTCAATCTGTCTCCTAATGTCCATAATCTGTCTCCTAATGTCCTCAGTCTATCTCGTAATGTCCATAATCTGTCTCCTATTGTCCTCAGTCTATCTCGTAATGTCCATAATCTGTCTCCTAATGTCCATAATCTGTCTCCTAATGTCCTCAATCTGTCTCCTAATGTCCTCAGTCTGTCTCCTAATGTCCTCAGTCTGTCTCCTAATGTCCTCAGTCTATCTCGTAATGTCCATAATCTGTCTCCTGAAGTCCTCAGTCTGTCTCTTCTGTCCTCACCCTCTCTGCAGGAGACAGAGGTAGGCACTCTGCAGCGCCGCCTGCAGGAAGTATCCGAGGTCCACGTCGACAGCTGAGACTCCAGAACTGGTTTTGAAAGTTTTGCTGTGAGGAGTCGAGACCATCTGGGACACAAGTCAAATAAAAACAATCAATCAAAACTTTAAATCTTTTCACTGCAGTGAAATATAAATCAATCATCTGATTTATTCTGTTGTTTGAAAACATTTATTCAGATCAGGTCTCTCCTGTCCGACAGCTGGACTTTACCTGAACCCATTTAAACACACGTGCACATCACGTGCACATCACGTGCACATCACGTGCACTCTGTCTGTCAGAGGACACACCTTGTCGAGCTCCTGCAGGTAGGACAGAGCTGCGTCACAGGCTCTGAGGAAACAGGACAGACTCTCCTCCTCCCGCTCCGACAGACGGACACGAGACACAGAGGACACCGTCTGATGGTCCAGAGACAGACCTGACCAACAAACAACAAACAAACAACAACAAATAAAGTCCAGTGTTTTTGTGGAGGACAGCAGCTCCAAATTATTTAATAAAACCAGAATCAGAAACACGACATCATTTCCTGTCAGGAAACAAAGACCTAATGATGAGGAGACAAACCCAATTATCCAGAACCAGAACACAAGACCCACAACACAAGACCCACAACACAAGACCCACAACACAAGGCCCACAACACAAGACCCACAACACAAGACCCACAACACAAAGCTCTACGGTGCGTTGATGATTATTTTGGGAGAATTGTAAAAAAATAATAAAATCTGTGCAAATGTTGTTGACAAACCATGAAAAGTTTGAATTTGTGCTTCTTCACATTAAGAACAAAAGAATCAGGAAGTAAAAGAACAAGTTGGAACAGATTATAAGAAAACAAGAAGCAATAATACAGTGACTAATTAGACAAAAGTAAGACATGAAAGCAACACAGTGAGTAATCACTGGTGTTCTAAAAAATCATAAAGTATGATCAGGTCTTTCACATTATGTTGTAAACGATGACAAGGAAACCTATGATCAAAGTCAAAAAGGAATAAATAAATAAACAAATAAATAAATAAATAAATGTGCAACCACATTAAACCCTCGCGTCTTGTCTCAGAACTTAAAACCCCAAAACCTATCTACATACGTGAACGGGCATGTTGAAGTAGTCCGATTTGAAGTGGTCGGCCATTTCTCCGAAGCTCTGCAGGCTGTACTCCCT